CTCCTCCTCCTCCTCCTCCTCCTCCTCCTCCTCCTCCTCCTCCTCCTCTGGGGGGGCCGGCCTGAGTGGGGAGTGGTGATAAGAGCCCAGAAGGGGCCCGAGGGGGGCCCATGCAGGGCCCTTCTCTTCGCCCCCCCTTCAGGCCACCCCTCATTACCACGCGCCCGAGCACCCACATCCCCAAACATCCGGCGTCTCGGAAAAGTCGGAGCGGAGGTGTTTTATAGTTTTCGGCCTCTCAGGGCCCTCGCGGGGCCTCGGAGCCCTCAGAAAACGACCCAGACTGAAAAACGGGTACCGGGGGAAGTGGTCGAGAGGTCGGGGGCCCGTGTCTCGAAAAAATCGAAACGCTGGATGTCTGGGACTGGGGCTCACGAGCGGCGAGCGTGGTAAGGCAGGGCGGTCTCAACACCTCAACCCTGGGACGCGGAGCGCCGCAGGGGCTCCGCCTAAGGCGGCGCAAAGGTGTTGAGGTGTTGAACCCGCCCTGGACTACTCGTGGTGCCTGTCCAGGCTAGCCGGGACCACTGGGGGGCCTGTTGGGGCCAGCCGGGAAATGGAGAGGGCTGTCTGTACGCAACCCGAAACCTTGCAAGGCGAACGTATCCATATCCGCGCCCTCGCGGTCTGGACTCCAGGGCGCGATCCCGCAGATGCGCGGTCGCACCGACATCGTTCCGCGCAGGGCATCCGCGAAAAGACGCCCCGTATCTGCGGGGCCGCGGCCCAGGGGCCCAGCACGCAAGGCCGCGGATACGGATATGTATTTCGCCCACGGCGCCACCCCCAAGATAAAAAACCGGCTTCCCTCTCGGGAGCGGCCAAGAGGGGGGTGTCCAAGAGGGGGGGTGCAAATCATGACCGGCGGCATGTGCGCGGCCCAGCGGGGGGGCCTGGGACGTAATGAAAGAAGAAGAGGCGCCATGAAATCTGGGGAAATATCATGGCCCACGCCATGATATCCACCCCCCCCTAGTCATCACCCCCCTCTTTTCCGCCCCCGACCCTCCTCCGTCTGCATGCGGGAAAGATTCCCGGGAGCGTGCTCGTCTGTTTGCTCATGTCTCCGACGGTCGGCGACCGGAGTGCCAAGACTGGATCCATGGCGCACTGCCCGCCGCTCCCCGCCGCGCGAGCCACGGAGCCCCGCGGAGAGAGCCGCGAGCACCGCAGACTGGCACAGCAGGCTGGACATAACCGGCCTCGAACGTATCCCTATCCCTAAGATGGGCGAGCAAAAAGCGAGGACAATCTTAGGAATAGGCCCGCAGAAACTGAGGGAATCCTTAAGATCGGCATCGAGGTGAGGTGATGTCAAACATAGGGATAGGGATATGTTTCAACCTGGTAAGGACATTCTCATCATCTCGCCCGCCTGCCCGTCACTCCCGCTGGCTAGGCACATCTGTCTCCAGCCCGTAATCGGTGGCCGTCTCACAGGACCCACCGGCTCACGCACACGTGTCCGATCGACCGGGTTACAGTTTGTACAGCGTGCGCGGTCGGGCAATTTGTCGTTTCGGCAAACTCTCGAGACTACCATTCCTGGACCAATACAAGAATGTGTTTCGCCCACGAGGAGCAAAGCTGGGAAGCCTCAGGAGGCAACTCCTGACAGGTCTTCGTAGGACCGATCGAAGGCTAATTATCAAGACCGATCGAGGGGCTATTAAGCCAGATCAGGCCAGATTTGGCCCAAAATTGTACTGAAAGTCACGGGAGTAAACGGAGCTAAGCAGGATCATGCCAGATCAGGCCTGTTTACGACCACGGACATAATGGTGCAGGTACTGAAATTAACCTCCAAAGAGTTACTTACATCCTAAGTCTAAATTTGGAGAACCGTTGCTCCCCACTTTGCTGCCCCTTTGTTCGCCTTTACTAATTACCCACCGGTCGGAAGAATTGGGCGTTTACAAACAAGAAGCAGGAAGGCGTTGGAAGTAGATTGTATATCCGCCGGCCCCCTCAAGACGAAAAAAGGGAGATCACTCGATCCTTGAGATTGCACCCTGGGAACCCAAAAAGCACACACACTCAACGACCGATGGGTGCTGTGCTCCCCGGCCGACGCCTCCTCCTTCTGTCGGCGCCCCTTCTCCGCGCCCCCCCTCTTCTTTCCGCGCAGACCGCGGCCTTTGGCCTTCCAGGATACCAAACCTGCTCGCATCCTTAGTCGACGAGCGCGCTCCACTGCTCGCAAAGTAACTACTCGCAAATAGCCTGGACCCCCTGCGGGGAATCCACGATAAATGGCATTAAAGCAGACAGGTGTTCTTCGGACGTTTGCGAGTAGGCACTTTGCGAGTAGTGGAACGCGCTCGGCGACTTAGGAATTGTTGACAGCGTCCTGCATCTCGGGGCCCCCGCCGGGCCCCGGGGCTGGCGAAAGACGACTCAGCACGGGGAAAGGGGTCGAGACCTCCGGAGATGCACGTTGCGAAAAAAACACGACGTCGGAGGCCTGGAGAGGGGCGACACCCCTGCTAGCTGCAGGAGCAGGGCCTCAAATCAGCGGCACGAAGGCCCCGTCGGCCACACCTGGCCAAACATGACCCCGAAACCGCATGTACGACATCACGAAAGTCCACTTGTACGCGTTTGGAGGAAGAAGTGTTGGCCAGCCCAAAATGAACTGCAGGTCAGATTTCTGAAACGCGGGCTGGGGTTCTGACTTCACAGGAATTCTGCAGACAAATGAACCCCAGAGAGGGCATCAGATACCCCAGCGTCGCTTGGACCTGCTCGGGTCGGGTTCGCACATGCTCGCAAACATATTCCTGAATCGTAGTCGGACCCCGATCATGGCCAGATTATCTCTGCTTCTAACCTGCCTGCCATCCGAGACAACCCACCTGCATGGCGGAGCGACCCTTGCCTTGAAGGCGTGCTGTTGTGCACGGTGGGCCCTAGGGGAAGAAGGAGGTCATGGTCCGAAGCTGGCGTTGCGCACGCTTGCCCAAATAGTGGCATTCGTGGGCGCGGGCTCTTACGTATGTGAGACAGGACAGCGGGGAGGGGGACAGGAAGGCATCAAAGGGTAGAGCAGCAAGCCAGGGTAAGCGAGAAAGCGTGAAGAGTGACAAAGCCGAGAAGCTGCGCATCAGGTAGCGAACCGACCAATGAGGAAGGATGTCCCCATGCGTCACTCACCACCGTTACCCCAGATGTCCAGGCCGATCCTGCGCAAACGTCAGCATGACCGCCATGATAACTAGAGGCCTCCCAGATGGGGTCCGAGTAGACGGGGTCGGAGGATCCCGCATGCATCGCCGATACATCGCCGATGCATCGTCGACGCATCGGCGACGTTTGCGGTGCATCGGCAACATCGACGTGAAGAAGATCGGGCTCCACATCGAGCCGCATCGGCGATGCATCGGCGATGCGGCGCGATCATCCGACCCCATCTACTCGGACCCCATCTGGGAGGCCCAGAACCATGAGAACGACCCTGATACAGGGTAGGGTACGTTCTGACCAGCATTTCGAGGCGAATCCAGCGGTGGCGACGAGGGCGTCCGAGGAGGCCCACCAAGAGAAAACGAGGGAGGGGTAGTATTACTCCTTCTCGTATGATCGAACCTCAGTCGAGACCCCACCGCCCGCAGCGCCCGACACGCAGCGCGGCCGCGGTGGCGCACAGCGGCAACACCGAGGCGGCGAGCAAACCCCCACCACGCCGAGGTCGCCGCGAGCCACGGCAGGCCGCCGGGTAGCCCCCGGTGGCCTCCGAGACGCCGGCTCCTGGGCGGGATTGGCCGAAGTTCGGCGGCGAGGGGGGGGGAAAGCGACAAGGAGAAAGCCCTCCCAGAAGGCGGCGGGGCTGATCCCCTCCCAGAGGGCGGCGGGGCTGATCCGAAGCCCTCCGAGCCGTCTGAGAAGGCCCGCCCTCTCCTCGCTTCCCCCCTGGACTCGCCGCCGAAAAGGGATGAAAGAGTAACACACCTCCAAAGCTGTGGAGGGGAGACACGGGAAAGGCCTGAGATGAAAGCGCTATAGGTATGGGGGCTGGCTAACGGACCCTGAGAGAGTTCTACCCCGAGAAATCTACCGGCCGCACATGGACCGGTTGTTAGTGGTCAGCTCATGGCAAGGGCCCCCGTGGCCAGACTTTCGGTATGTCGGCCAAAGCCTGGGGAAAACCAGCATGTCGCGACAGATGACGGGCCGAGTGGTCATGCAGACCGTATATGCCTGCACACTTGCACGAGCCCTGTCCGAAAGGAGGGGCGGGCGTGACAGCCACAGCGGCCACAGCGATGGCGGATGAACTAGGACGGCAGCGATGGGAACCACGGCGACCTCAGAGGTGCAAGGCCACCATATGGGCCACGGATCACAGAATTCGTGCGCAAGCACATCGTTCCTCACACTGTCGCGGAAGACTTCTCAAGAAAACGCAGAATGGCCATAAGATTTTGCGAGCACATCCAACTTACCTCTTGTGCCATTCACGTTCCACACCCTCCCCGTGTCCCACGGCCCGCATTCGTCCAGCCAGCTTCACTGCCTGAAAACATATGCGCGTTCCGACTGGTCAACGCAAAGTGGGCGACAACAATGGAACACTGAGATCTGTCCAAAAGGTACACCGCGCCAATGCCCGCGCAAGAATGCAAAACAAATAACAAGAAATCTTGATGATGGGTGTCCGTGGAAGCTGCGCAAAGCACACCGCGCTGAAGCCAGGGATGGCGCCATACCAACTTGCATCATGACTGTGTGCGCGATCGTACCTCTGATCCTTGCTCAGATAGCAAACTCTGAATTGAGCCAAATCTTGATGGGCGGGACAAAATCGAAATCATGAACTGTATCTCACTCACGTAACCATGAAAACTGCACACGTTCACGAGGTAGGTCCACGACGAAAATAATCGCTGCCCATGCCCGTGACGCGCTGGTCGCAATCTAACCGCACGCAAACAGCATCCATGCAAACGAACAACACGCGTTGGAAAAAAACATGCACTATCTAGACGCCCCCAGAAAAAAACGTGAATGACCAACACCTGCAAAAACAACATTGCAAAATAATGCGAATGCGAAAGCAACAGCGCAACAGCCGCCACTCTGGCCCATGCCAGCCGAAGCGTGGTAGAATACCAACTGCTGTCTGGTAGGGGCCCTATGCTCCTGCAAGGGCCCCATCCCTCTCTACCCGTGCGTTTCCCTGCGTGCACCCACCCCCCTCCTGAGGTTTCCTGGGTTGTTTGACGGCCCCCTACGGCGTCCGACATGCCCGACATGTTCTCCACTACGACCCAAGCATCATAAAATGGAGTGGGGTCACATACCTCCCCCACAGGCAATTGTAGACAAAAAATGAACGGGCTGCCTTTTGCTCAAACCCCACTGGAACCCTCCAAGACAGCTCAAATCAAACCCCCTCCAATATCAGACTACCCCGCCTTTATGGTGCAATCCGGAATACACTAGAGTACCAAGCCCGCCAGAATGGTTCCCTGACGGCCAACGATGACTCCAAGACGGCCCCAGAAGGCCTCAAAACTGCCAGCTCCCAAGACTGCCCAAGGAGTCTTCGAGAAAGTCACCAGGAAAGACCGAAGAAGCCAAAATCATTGATTTGCCGCATGTGTCTGACGGACGCTCGCACTCTCACATTTCCGCGCGTCCGTCAGCTCAAGACGGCCCAAGAAGCAGCCAAGATGGGCTCAGAACAGCCCACGATGACATCAAGAGGCCCCAAAACGGCTCACGGGGGTTCCAAGATAGCCCACATACGGGTCCAAAAAGACCCCACGTCGGCCCAAAGGGGCCATCATCAGATGGCCCCAGAGCCCCCAGGAGGCCCCAAAGGGCGCCCAGACGGTCCACGAGCACCCTCTGACCACGTCGACGCAGATCTGCTGTAAGACCGCGTACAAAGCCTCCTCGCCAACAAAGGTCTCCGCTGGGAAACAAGGCAGGGCTGGCGCAGGCTGGGGGGCGAAACCCGCGCCTGCGCCCGGGGGGGCCAAACCCGCGCCCGGCCCAGAACTGCCACCGAAGGGCCGGTTCCAGATACACCACCCGGGAGGGACTGAACCCGCACCCGGGGCCAGGGGGGCGAAACCCGCACCCGGCGCACCCTCCTGGGAGCTGCACGCATGCCAGCCGAAGGGCCGTTGCACGCACCGGGACTGCCACCTGGGAGCGACCGTTGCAATGGCAACGGCGCTCGGCCCACCACTTCCAGCTGCCCCGCTTCCCCGCCAAATTGGAGCAGGGGCGAATTCGCCGGCCCCCTCTCCCTAACTCCCCCATCAGCGGATCAACCTCCGCTCTTTTCTTGCTCTCCAGGGACAAGACTGCCTTCGCTCCGACGTGATATTCAAACGCACTGTCGGTTCGGCATCTGGAACGCAGGCTCCTGCACGCCTGGACCTCTAGCAGCTCTAGACATGACTCTGACGAGAAACTCCAAAAGACACAATATGCGTCAACGATGTCAAGCGTGAGCGAGTACAATAAGCAAACTGGTAAAGTGCAACTCGCAACCCCGGCGAACCTTTCGGCGTCTTGAGCTCGAATCACCACGGCCTTTTGCCCTATACCAGCTTAAGAGCAATTCTGGCTCAAGAACAATTCCGGTTGCTTTAGCATTGGGATCACTTACGCTTACCGAGAGTTGCGCACGTGGTTCGCGTGAGTTCCTGGTTGAGTAACACAATGACAAGTACCGACGTACTTTCGAAGCCAATATGTCTGGTGCATCATCTGCAGCTCTGCCAGGCGAGTCTACCGAACTCTCACAAAAGTAGGGCGATGGTAAGGGCAACGGCAAGACAAGTTTGCACGTCCGTCAGCGTCAGTCAGTGAATAATGTTTAATGAAAAATAATTATACGTGTGAACATATGTATATATATACATATATACAGATGGATGGCGCTCTTCAAGACGCCAAGTCAAGAGTCACCCAATCTCAAGAAAGCCAAGCTCGACAACGATGATTTCATGAAATCCCACCAGAAGATGGGGCGGCGCCCCCGTTCCGGGGCGTCGGAGCGGACGCCTCCTCGGCGAGACCGAGTCGAGGTGCCCTTGCTCTGCTTCCCCTGTCAAGACGGCCGCGGTGCCAACCCAAATAACATATTCCGACAAGTTGACTTTCATCGCGATTTGAAGCAAGCAAATATCAGCATGATAGAACGTTGAAGAGTCGCTTATTCTGGCGCAGCCGACCCCATCAAGAACGACATGCATGATGTCAAGACTCGTCTTAACATTGCGGAAAAGCGCGAAATCGCGAGCAGCTCGTGTGCAAAGCGGAACTTGTCTGTCATGCGGGCACTTGATATTGCGCATCGTCGCGCAGCGTGTATCGGTTCCGAAACAGATGATCTGCAAGAGCTTATTCGTGATATGGAACCGTTTGATCAAAGCGTCCGAATGTGCCAGCCTTCGAATTTAGACATTCTTGTTCGGGTCCACGAAACAATCGTAAATTGACCTAGGCATCATACGTGAAGTTTCGGAATCCAGAAGCTGCATCCACATTTCTTGAGACGACAGAAAAATAAATTCCCTCGGTGCAGCGCCGCGCCAGCAAAGGGCACAGACGTCTTGGCGCGGCGGACAGGACGGTCGGGCTCGCGGCCTAGGGCGACCCCATGGTGCACCCCGCACGCCGACCCGACCCCGTAGCCTGGCGGCCTGCAATGCACTACAGATTCCCCCGACAAGCCCCCCGAAAAAAGCCGAGAGGCCAAAGGGTGGTGAGGGTGGAGAAAAGGTAAGCCCGCAGGCGCGTGGGCCCCCGCAGGGGCCCGCCTGCCATGGGACACGCAATCTGCGGCCGCAAGCGCGTGGGCCCCTTTGGGGGCCCGCCTGCTCCTGGCCCTCGCAGGCCCCTGGGCCCCCGCAGGGACCCGCCTGCCCTTCGGCCGTTACTTGCTATCCCGCCACGGACCCGGGCGGACGGTGGGCACGGGCCGCCACCGAGAGGCACGGCGGCCCACCCGAGACTCGAAACCGACAGACGAGGCAGCAGCACTACAGCCTTGGCGAGCAACGCGAGGCTCGGGGAAGCGAAAGAGCGACTGAGTCGAGAGCGCCAGGCTCGGAGGAGCGAAAGAGCAATTGAGTGACAGAGGTACGGAGGTAGTCGAACGCGGGACGGCACCAGGAATTTATACGCCTGCCAAACCTCCGATTTACAGGGTATATAAATTCCCTCGGTGCAGCGCCGCGCCAGCAAAGGGCGCAGACGTCTTGGCGCGGCGGACAGGACGGTCGGGCTCGCGGCCTAGGGCGACCCCATGGTGCACCCCGCACGCCGACCCAACGCACGCCCAGCCGCAGCCCGCCGTGCCAGCCGGCGCACACTCCCCCCCATAGCTCTTCCCCGCTCTGTCCCTCGCACCCCAACGCATGCGTCGTGCGCACGGCATCGCTGAGGCCCTCTCGCTCGGAGTCGGAGCTGTCCGACACCCTCTATCCAGGCTCCTCCCCCTCGGAGCTGTCCGAATGCCCAGTGGCCTCCTCCGCCGCCAGAGTCTCGCTCATGGCCCTGGCTGACGGGCGCGCCCAGGCTGCCACGCTGCGCCACCCGCCCTGAGCGAACATGGCCGCCGGGCCCTGCGACCTGAGCACCTCGTCGGCCCTGCCCCTGCGGAGAGCATGGGTACCCCATTCCGCCGCGCGCGGCAGTGCCAGCGCCATTGCAGCAAGCTTTAAAAGCGACAGCGAATCCGCGCATGTCAGGCCCGGGAACACAAGCGACCCAGCGCGCGACGC